CCTTCAACTATTAGAAGGCCCCCGCCCATCAGTCTGGGCTGTGTGAGCCTTCCTCGCTCCTAGGCTGGGGGATGGGGGAGGAACAGAAGGTGGACATTAGAAGGTGGGGCGGGGGGATAGCCAAGTGTGCTGGGGCTACTCCAGGTCTCAGATGCTGGCTCCCAGGCTGCCTGCTCTCTCCAAACACGTCCGCTGCACTTTGAATGTATCTATACACTATGCCAAGCATCTGAATTACCTTAGTTTTTATTTCTTGAGTCTATAAAATAAACTCACCTTTCATAGGGTTGTATGTAGTAGAGTTCTATGTGATATACAAGGGGGGCTTCAAATGGCTCATGGAAAAGTCTCATTATCTTTTAATTCCATTTTCCACAAACTTTTTGAATCCTACTTATAATGTACCAAACTGACAAGCATAGAATATATACTCCATAAACAAAAGTTCTTATGTGAGATTTAGAAGGGCAATGAATCTACCTCCACACCCCCATTTCTTAATATCTGAAGATATCCACAAAAGACTTGATATATAGTCCCTAAAATCCTTCCAGTTGAAACTAATTTCTAAACAGAAATTACTATTCCTATTCCAGTTGTCCTCTTTGGAAACTGAAATACTCCTGGGATGAATAGTCTCATAAATCATCATAACTTGAATTAATCTTTAAGGTGCTTTGCTTTACTTCTAATAGAGCCTATTGAACCCAGATGCCTTGGGGAAGAGAGGAAAAGAGGGTGCTTCAGCTACAAAAGACTTAAGAGCTATCTTAGAATCCCCTTTAAGCAATTGCATGAGGAGACCCCACTTCCTTTCTCTTTTTCTGTGACTCTTGTGTTCTCAGCCACTACTTGTCTCTCAGTTTATTATACTTTGGTGGCTTGCATGTTTTGGTGATGATGGAAGCTATGCCAACAGTATTTAAAATATCAGCAGAATCACCCAAGGGCTTCTGGTGTGCCACTGTAGGATAAGCACTGGACTGCTAATCATAAAGTTAGTATCTAAATGCCCTCATTTAAAAATAAACCAACCTGCAGTGAACATTTTCATGAATCACCTTTCAGAATTATTTTTACTTAGTGGTGTTTTCCACACCTTACCTTATTTGTTGGGAGTGTTGGTGTGGCTGTGGGTTAATGCGCCAGACTGCAAAGGCGGATGAACTGCAAGGTCGGGGGTTCAAGCTCACCAGCCGCTCCTCAGAAACCCTGTATAGGGTGGCTATAGATCGGATTCGACTTGATGGCATTTTACAACAACAACAACTCTTGACATGTATTTCAAATGCTTATGAATGAGCCGTGAGGCAGCCAAAGTCCGTAGGGAGAAAAGTTTAACAGGGCAGCAAAGCACAAGGTAGGGGTTCTCAGGGTCTAAGTGGAGACTGAAATTGTGCTCACCAGCTACTCCTTGGAAACCCTATACAGGGTCACTAAGGGTCGGAATCCACTCGATAGCACTTCGCAACAACAACAACAACCTTATTTGTTGTGCATTTCCATCAAGTAATATTCATAACTTAAGGAGCTCTGGAGCAAATCTGGCTGCAAACCTTAAGGACAGCAGTTCGAAACTTCCAGCTGTTCAGAGGGAGAAAGATGAGGCTTTCTGCTTCTGTAAAGATTTACAGCCTCGGAAACCCTGTTCAGGGTCGCTATGGGTCAGAATCGACTCGACAGCACTTAACAATAACAATATTCATAACAGAGAATTTTATTTAATATTTCTTTCTTTTAAGATACCAGAAAATATAAGTATATGTCAAAATCATGACTTAAAGGTGAATCACAAAGATTGTTATTTATTTCTTTTGAAAAAGGAACTGAAGTTGTCTTTAGTTAGTGGGAGTAGCCTCTCCCGCTTCCTCAGCCGCATCTTCGTATGCATCTGCATCATCGGAAAGCATATTGGTCACACTTTCAGATTTTGATTTTTTTGTGCCTGATTTTCTAAGCTCTGAACTATTATTGCCCCAAAATGTGCTGCTCTCTGCGCTCTTAGAGAAAGATGTGTCTGATACACCTTCTGTTGGATGGAAGTAAGACATCTCTGCCAGCTCCGGGTTGACGGAGTATTGGCTCTCACACTCATGTTTAGAACTGGAAGTGAAAAGAACATACATTCAGAATTAATTTTAATTGTGTACTGAGTTTCAAAAATCATTCACAGAAAATAAATCAAAATACGACATCTCTCCAATGTACTCATATTAGAGTTATTTGGTGTGGTGCTGTGGGTTAAATGCAAGTTGATTTGAACTGTAAGGTTGGTGGTTCAAGCTCACCAGGTGCTCCTTGGAGACCCTATACAGGGTAGCAATGAGTCAGAAGTAACTCGACAGCACTTAACATCAACAACAGAGTTATTTAGTAACATGATTTAGATGATATGTAGTTTTTTTCTTTAACTATAATTTTATTATATTTAATACTTATGATCATGAAACATGCTTCAAATCTTAAGACTAAAATTTAGAAATCAATTTACTAAACTGAAAAGATGCCTTAATAAAAGTTTAATTAAAAAAATACAATTAATTTGAATTAGGGGCAATAAATACCTATGGTCATAGTTTTAATGGAGTAGAGAAATGCACCATTCATCAACAATAGCAAATCAAAAGAACTGAATTAATAACTGAATGATAAGCTGTTAGGATTTTTTAAAGTAATTTGTTACACTGTATGAAAAATTATAAACAATCCTTTCAATTATGCCTCAGCTGAATTTAATATATTTTATAAGAAAGAACAAATGGGGAGTCCTCGAGGTACAAACGTGGAAGAAAGATTTGCCTATTTTTTAACATCTCAAGGCTTGTCTGATTGAAAATGGTCCCATCTCCATTGTTGTTAAGTGACATCAAGTCGGTTCCAACTCATGGTGACGTTGTATAGGATTTCCAAGAGGCACATGGTAGGTTTGAACTGCTGATCTTGTAGTTAGCTTTATCCTTTTTCCTTAGAGGATACTAAATATTTCTTTTAACATTTTGTTTACATGAAATTATCACATATAGGTACTTTGAATATTAAGATATTTAAACTTACAGTATTTTAATATATAACTAGTTGTTACTTTTTTTTTATAGGAACTGTCACATAAATTTGTTATAGAATACATTGTTATATTGAAAGATATATAGTAATGTGTAATCAGATCAATAGAATATTATTATATATCTTTCAGTATAGCAAATAATGTATTCTATACGAAATCTATGAGTGGGACTTTGAAATGATTATTTTTTGCAATGTAATATTGTCAGATTTACTTTTAAATATTGTCAGTTGCAATATTAAATATAGTACTGCTACTGGAATCATAACTTATATTTAATAGAGTTTACTCATTGGGAAAAGGAGCTCTGGTAGCATGTTGTTGTTGTTAAGTACCGTGGAGTCGGCTTCGACTCATAGTGACCCTACACAGGGTTTCCGAGGCTATAAATCTTTACGGGAGCAGACCGCCTCATCTCTCTCCCGTGGAACCGCTGGTAGTTTCGAACTGCAGACCTTGAGGTTAGTAGCTCGATTCGTAACCACTACGCTACCAGAGCTCCTTAGTCGTTATGAATCGGGTTGCTAACCTCAAGGTCAGCAGTTCGAAACTACCAGCGGTTCCGCGGGAGAGAGATGAGGTGTTCTGCTCTCGTAAAGATTTACAGCCTCGGAAACCCTGGGTAGGGTCGCTATGACTCAGAATCGACTCCACGGCATATAACAACAACAATTAAAAAGGAAGCATATCTGGATTTTCTATATCCTCTCTGAATGACTAGGGTCACTTCTATCTCTAGAAGACAATTTAGCATATTGATGGAAATTTCAAGTAGGATATTCTGTGAGAGACAGCCTTGGGCTCTTTCTGAATAGGGAAAATGGAGCCAAATGAATGAATGCCTTCAGGGAACTGTGTGGGTGGTTTTCTTAACCATCTACCAAAAGGAGGAGGGAGAATGCTTGCCATCTTGTGTGTTATAAACATTCCAGAGGTCTTCAGACTTACAGCGTTCTCAGTTTGTACAACGTAGCAAAACAGAGTGTCAAGATGGCGAGGAAAAGGATGAGGCTCATCAATGAGATACCCAGCATTAATTTTAACTTGATATCCTCTAGCTCTCCCAATGTTTCTTTGGTCAGATAGTTCTCATCAGAACCTGAGAGAAAAGAAAGAAAACACCTTGAAAAGGAGTAATTGCTGTAGGCATGCTTTCATAGTGGAGGGGAAAATTGCAAAGCACTTCTCACCTCCAGCACTTCACCCCACTGCAATAGAGAGGAGAAGATAATTCCTGCTGGCCAATCATTCAACTTGTCCCTTTTAATCCTCACCAACCCTGGAGGAGCTGCCATTTTACAGGATCATAGAAGTTTAATTCTCCCATGGCATAGAACTAATAAATGGAAATTTTTTATTTCAAGCCTAGATTACCAGATGTCAGATTGTGTCTGTAGCACATAGCTTTTTTGACTCTACTAAGAAATAATTCAAGGCTCAATTAATTTATACACAAAGGATTAGTCCTTCAGGAGAGAAAGGTATATGTAATTTACTGTTGCACATGCAACAATTTTTCTTGTCCTTAAAAGAATGCCATACTGGATGCTTTCTCCATGAAGTTTAAAAGTTGAGTTTACAATTTTATTTCAGAGAAGATCAAACACACTGCACTTGGTATTTAAAAGAAGAAATGAGAATTAAATTTGTAAAATAAATCTTGTAAAACAAATTCTATAATAAAAATCATGTCAGATCTAGCCAAATTTTAGATTTTCCTGAATTCATGCCTGATTGGAACCCTGGTGGTACAGTGGTTAAGTACTCAGCTGCTAACCAAAAGAAAGGCGGTTCAAACTCACTAGCCATGCCATAAGATAGATATGGTTGTCTGCTTCTGTAAAGATTACAGCCTTGACTTAATATTTAGTTAATACTGGCTTAATATACCATGCTGATATTTATCCTCTCTCTCTCAAATAGCTATCCAATCAAAAGTTCCAAGGATTTTCTTTATTTTCCAGGTAACGACACTTAAGTAATAAGCAATGTCAGACATCCATGTCTGTATTCTCTGATTTTTAAAAAATTATAATAGTGAAAAGTCCAATTTCAGACCAAGTAGATTGAGATAGGAACAGTTGTCAATGGATGTTTTATGGTTTTGAGACAGGTTATTTTGGAAATAATCAAACAAATTGCATTAAAATGAGCTGTGCTCTTTTAGTCTCTAAAAGGTTTTTAAATTTTTGTTTGATCATGGCAAGTATATAAATATAGCAAAACACTTGCCATTTCAACATGTTTTACATTTGCAATTCCATGACATTAATTACTTTCATCATGTTTTGCACCCATCACCAGTATCTGTTTCAAATTTTTTCATCAACCTTAACACAAACTTAGAGCTTCCCAAGCAATGATTCCCTTTCCCCCTCCTTCTTACCCATCCCTGGTAACAAGTAACAAGTGTTGGTCTCTATACATTTGTCAGAACTAGATATTTGAATGGGGTCATACAGTATTTGTTCCTTTGGGAAAATGACTCTTTAACTCAACATGTTTTCAAGACTCATCCATGTTGTAGCATGCATTTGTACTTCATTTCTCTTCATGATAGAGTAATATTTGAAGATTGGCTTTTCCATTTCTACAAAGAAGGGGATTGCATTGAATCTATAGATTGATTTGGGTAGCACTGACAGCTAAACAATATTAAATCTTCTAATCCATTAGCGTAGTGGTTACAAATCGGGCTGGTAACCTCAAGGTCAGTAGTTCGAAACTACCAGCTGTTCCGTGAGAGAAAGATGAGGCTTTCTGCTTCCCTAAAGATTGACAGCCTTGGAAACCCTGTACAGGGTCACTATGAGTTGGAACTGACTCCATGGTACTTAACAACAACAACAACAACAATTAGCACAATGCTTTTTTATTCATTCAAGTGTTCTTTCAGCAATGTTTTAATAGTTTTCAGTGCATGTCTTTCATGTTCTTGGTTAAATTTATTCCTAGGTATTTTGTTCTTTTAGATGCTATTGTAAATGAACTTGTATCCTCAATTTCTTCTTTAGAATACTTATTGCTGATATATAGAAACCTGATTTTTGGGTGTTGATCTTTTATTATGCCACTTTACTGAATTCATTAATCACTCAAGTAGCTTTGGGTCACTATGAGTCAGAATAGACTCAATGGCAGTAGGTAATGAGATAGTAGCTATCTTGTGAATTCTTTCTCTGGGTAGGATCATGTCATTAGTAAAAGGGGTAGTTTTACATTTTCATAATCAATTTGGATTTTGTCTTTTTCTTGTCTAATTTATGTGCTAATGCATTCAATACACTATTGCATAGCAGTGGTGAGACTGGGCATCCTTGTCTTATTCCTGATGTTAAGGGTGAGACATTCAGTTTTCCTCCATTGAGTATATTAGATGTGGAGTTTCCCTAAATGCCATTTATTCCATTGAAGAATTTCTCTTTCATTGCAGCTTAGTGAGTGTTCTTATCAGGAAAAGGATTTTGGATTTTGTCAATGTTTTCTCTGGGATTATCTCAACTGATTTTTAAAAAATATTGAACCACCCTTGCACTCCTGGAATCACACTTGATCATAGAGTCTAATTCTACTAATACGCTGTTGGATTAGGACTGGTAGTATATTAGTGAGAATGTTTACATCCCTACTTATTGAATATTGTTCTATAGTTTTCTTTTGCTGTCTTTGACTTTGGTACCAGAGTAACACTAGCCTCACAGAATGAGTCAAGAAGTGCTACCTCCTCTTCTAACTTCTGAAAAAGTTAAAAAAGGATGGGATAACATCTATAAATGTTTGGTAGCATTCCCTAATGAAGCCATTTTGTCTGGGATTGTTTGTGGGGAGGGGGATCAGCTTTTGATTACTGATCTAGTCTCTTTACTTGTTATTGGGTTTATTGAGATGTTTTATTTCCTCTTGAGTTAATGTAAGAGGTTTATGTGTTTCTAGTAATATTGCCCATTTCAAGTTATCTAATTTGTTGATGTGCAATGGCTCATAGTATTATCTTGTTGTTGTTGTTGTT